CGTGACTGACGCCAGATCGGAGCTCCTCTCCGCTCAAACGATCCTAACAAGAGCGCAATCAGCCCTCGAGCAGTCAGGGTACCGGTCCGCCATCTCCAAGAAAGCCGAGGAGAAGCAACTCCTAGCAGAGATCAAGGCCGGCAGCGAGCAGACCATAAAAGACACCGAGGAGCACCTCGAAACCACGGAAAAAGAGCACAACGAGATTATCCAGAAGACAGAAGCCGAGATCGCGGAGCACCTGCACGGGGATTCAAGCCCGGAGAAGGTCGCTCTGAAGAGCAAAGAGGAAGCACTGAACAAGTTCAGGTTGGAGAAGGAAACCCAGATATCGACGCTAAAGTCGCACGTCGCGACACTCCCGGAAACCCCCGAATTCGGAGAGCTGGAGAAAGCGAGGAGCGCGCTCACCACCATCAAGAACAACGAACGTGAACTCGGCGTCGCGAAGGACGCCATCAAGCTCTTGCAGGAGAAGAAGGCGCCCGTGGCGGATCATGCAAAGTCGATACTGACCAAGTTGGAGCATGTGTTCGACATTCAGCGCGTGGAGCTGCACGGGTCGTTGAGGGACCTGATGGAGAAGGGGATTCCGCTCACGGCGAGGGTTAAGGGGTTCATTGCCGGGAGGGAGATCGACCTCGTACTCGATTACAAGATTGGGGAGACGGGAGAGTTTGTCAAGGGGTTAATGTGGAAGTTGTGGGAGGAGATCAGTGGGGATGTTATGGACTTGTTTGGTGGGGTGGAGGAGGAGAAGGAGAAGGGGGATGAGAAGAGCAGCACCTAATCTTTTCTTATTCTCATTTTTTATTTTTCCTATGACAAGACGATTTCGGAGGGGAATCTTTGGAGTTATGGGGTTGGTTCTTTATAGCTCGATTATAATAATAATACCAGAACTTCTGCGCGATAATTCTTCCAAGACCCGGCCAGCCAATTACGATACCTCGGTGACGGATGTAAACCCACTGCTCGCACACTTACCACGATACGACTATGCATGAACATGATACAGTAGACGAGTGACCATCAGTGACGGCAAGTTTAGACAATCAGGGAAAGAGCGGGCACTACAATTGCACCTAGCTACAATGAACCCCTTTACAAAAACAATATTTAACTATAATGAACCAGTAAATTTACACCGTAAAATAACCTGCTATCGTGAACTCCCCATTCGTCAAAATTAGTGAACGCAGTCATGATTCTTGGCGTTCATTTTAGCCGGGTATTATACGATATTTACAACTGATAGTATCACACCGGTGATGCCTACCTACAGACGGCGGCGCCCAAAGGTTCCCAAAGCAGCCGCAGCAGTCCTCTCTCATGTCCTGGAAGGTCTTCCCCGAGAGCACTCCTTGAACCGTGTTCTTTGGCTGTTCGTGAGAGGCTTGTCTTCGCTAACCTAGCCACATATGAACCCTAAGTCCCAACTGAAGACAATCCGCCACGCTTCACGTCACCAGCCAAACCTCTTCGGTATGATAAGGGTTCGGTTTCGGCCGGTTTACCCTCCGCCCGCGGCAGGAACACTGTGTAGGGGTCATTGTGACTCAGTCGTCTATCATCTGCGGGTTCCTGGGCAGCAAAGGCTCGAAAATGTCTCTATGCCTCAGTGATAATGCCTCTTTTCAATGCAAGTATTAACGTGCCGAACAACTCTACAGCCCCCGAGGCCCAGCCCGGCCACCTCCGCTAGGGTGCAAGATACGACATCGGGCATTGGAGATCACCGGGTCGAGGATGTGGGAGGCTGGGTCTTGACGACCGAGGAACTTTGGATGCTGGAATGGCGGTATCGTAGTGGGGAAGATGGATCTGATAAAGTAGTCCACTTTTCTGTAGAGATCCGGTCCAGTAAGGCTTGTATTAGGCAGCAAGGGTGATCCTTAAGGAAGGAAAGGAAGAGATCCTATTGGAGGTTACCGGAGGACCACGAAATTCCGGGGGAGATTTCCAGGGTTTTCAAGGCCACAAAAAGAACATCAGCGGATAGGCAACGAGACCCCCTGATATCCAAGAGATTCTCTAGGCATCACGCCCCCCTAGGTACATTCATATGTATCCACACCCCGAACGAACGTATGGCAGGGAAATCGGGTGAGGCCCCCAAATCGGCTAACCAAATTATCAAAAAAGTCCCCGGGCACCCAAACATCCGTGACCGGGTTACCGCACACCTGGGCAGAGGTTGGAAAACGCCCCGCTAGAGCGACAGTAAGTGTATCCGTAGGCCCCGGTGAAGGTGGTATCATGAGATATCTCCCTACTGGGCTAATGAGGACACAGCCTCGGACGCGGTGGACAGTAGGCTGGAGGTAGATATCCTGGAGGAAGTTCCCGATAATGTCTCGGGAATGCACGGAGGGGCGGCGGTACTGGGAAGATACATGACCTTGTCCGCTGGTAGGCACATCAGTAGATCCCCGTTAGTCTCGCTGGATCCTATCATACGAGAAACCACCATCCATCGTGGGCAGCAAAAGCTCAACACAGTGGTGGGTGACTTGGGGCTGGGAGGTATATATGGTCAACGCTATATCGGGCAAAGAGGCGGGGTGGGAACAAATCGAAGCTCTGTAAGGCGGCCTTGTGTGGATCCCTCAATCGAAGTAGACCTTGATATTAACCGGTGTCTTCCCTTGATGTACGATATCATACCGAGCAGCTTTATCCCGGCGCTCGAGCTCGATAGGGTTAATCGCACTTTTCACTAAACCAAGCCTATTAGCGAAATGCAAAGCTTAACCCAAAGAGAAAATACAAGGATCACACCGTATGATGCAAGGAATTGTCCCCCCAGCCTAAAAGTCCGAGCGACAATCTTATAGATAAACCGTCCATTCCAACCACCCGACCGGATTCCCAGGGTTATAAGAAATTTAACCTCCTTCCCACTCTTCAAGTTCACAAAGGACACAATGCCCTCCAGTTCTCCAAACGTGTGTACGAGTGAGAGCCCATGACGGGCGAATCCATGTCTCTGCTGTCCCGTGAGCAGTGTCAACGCAACTACACTAACGCTTGTTGCAGGTTTGTATCATTTATCCGGCTGTTGCGGGGGAGTTGAGCTCGTTGATCTACCCCCCCCCTCTTCCTCTCGCTCTTCCTCGCCGTCGGTAATTTACTTGAACCCCCCTATATATCCCGGGTACGCCAGATAAATGGCATATACTAACGAATCCAACCCCATCATCCCCCGCACTTCCCAAAGCCATCACACCCAAACCCAGTTGACAGAACGTCTCCCGGGTTTTCTCGCTCACAGTATGAACAAAACAAAGTTCCCGCCGCAGTACCGTCGGTATAATCACAAGAAGAAGAAAAACGCTATGTAGAAACCCATCCCCACGCATTCAACGCCACCGAATCCTGGACTCCCCTCCTTCTCGGTATCCACAGCATGCTCGGTACTGTCGTATCAACAAACACAACCCTTCAGATCAGTGCACTCTGCCCCGTCCGCGGAACTGGTCAAGCCGTCCGTCTACACTCCTCCACCACGCACGCACACCCACCCATCTAACTTATTATATCCAGTGATAATTTTTGATATGGGGGAGGCTCCGTACGTGTATGCATATATAATCGACGCGTAAAATTGCAATCCCGCCAATTCCCCAGAATGGTGAGTCCGCCCTTGCTGCGACGGCGGCTACGAGGACTTCTGTAGGGGGGGCAGGGGAAATGAAAGCAAGCTCACAATATTCCCGGGCGAAAAGAACCGTGCTTGGAAGGGGGAGGGGGGTTGGTTACGGGTTTTGCTGTTTTTCAAGATTTGCGATAGTGGAAAAAATTGCTATCATAAGGGATTAACCTAACCACCCGGGCCTCCGCCTCCGCTCCCCTGAGATTCTACTATGGAGCCAAGGGATAGCCACTAGGGAGATCAACCACAACACCAGAACACGAAAGGCCAACCAGAACACCTCCCAGTCCTTCCTTCCTTCCTTCCAGAAGGCGTCGAGGTCAGGGCAGGTACAGTACCGTACAGCGCAGTACCACAAAATCCACCCCACAACGATTCAAACATGATACTCGTACAAGCTATCGAATCCATTCCACCATCAGAAATCCTCACTGCCCCCTCCATTCCCAACTCCCCACCGGGAAAACCCGCGCCTGCCACACCCACACCCATATTTCAATGTGGTATTATGATACCTATTAATCCCCCCCGCTCAATCGGTCAGCCGACTCGGCCTATGATATGATACCGTACCCCAAACCCACAGGCATCCATCCCCCCAACCATTCTCCGTTCAATAACTCACTTTCAGAAGCCCACTCTTGACTATGTATGGTACCGCAGGCAACCAGCAGCGTAGTTGAAAACACCATGATTACCCAGACTGCCACAAGAAACATACATACATATATATATATACATGGTTCGCTCGATGCGAAACGATACGATGCTATGCAGCTCGATACTGTACGGGTACAGTACTCTAGCGCAAATCCCCATCCGCTCCCGAACCGCTCCCGGGCCCGGGCGCGCGCCCTTCTGTCCATCTGGGCCGATTCGAGATCTCGTTGAAGGAAAAAAAAAAAAGTCGCGCTTTGGGGGGAGGGAGAGGGAAGGAATTGCCTGGGAATTCGACTCACTAGTATGCGGGTCGGTTTGTAATGTAGCGACATAGGGGCGGATTATTTATCCGTCCATCTGGTTATCTGTTGTGCTCAAGTACTGTACCGGTAACTTTACACTACGGTGCCGATATTTGGATGGCGGCCGTGTTACTGTGGGATGGTAGCTCGGGGGTAAACCCGTTTTGTAAGGAGGGGTTGTGTTGTTACTAATTCGCTTGGTGGGAGTTGAGATTTGTCGACTTGGATTGGTGGATGGAATGATAATGTGGCTGTGAGTTGTGGGGGCATGATAGTTCTGTGCTACCAAAGCACGGGGGCTCGTCAAAACACATTGGAACCCCCTACTCGTATAGTGTGGGCACCGCACTTAAGCAGCTCACGAATTTCTGAATGCGATACGGTAAACTCTGAATACCGGTATTATAATATCCAATCTGAATACCGGTACTAGAACTTAGTTACCGGTAGCGAATCCTTAACTCGCACTAGTAGCCCAACCTAACCCAACTGGGCTGGCCTCAGCTATTGCCCATAAACCCCAATCAGTCCAAACCCAACCGTAGCAATTCCTGCCGCGAGAAAAAAGGAGCAAGAAGCAGAAGAAGATATAACAAAACCCTAATTTTACATGTGCAGGCATTACGTTTTTTGACCATGGTGTGAATGGAGATTTGTGAGATGTATCGTGTGAAAAAATGAAAAACGAGAAGACAAGAAAGGAGAAGAGAAGCAAGGATGGAGAATAGAAACGAAACTTTTGTTAGAATGAGTGTGCGTGGTCACCCCTCAGTGCGAGGGGGGAATAAAAGGAGAAATAAAAATAAAAATAGATGATACAAAGGGGTATAAAATAGACAACGAATAGAATATAAAAAAACAACCCTTAAAAACTAAACTAGTGTGACGGCCAAAATTCTTAAGAAATCCTCATAACCTTCGTCCAACCCCCCAGTGCTGAAATAACGATTCCTCAGTGAATTATCCCCCAAACTCCCAACCCAAGAAAATAAACCACTGCGGCCAATACCAAGGCCATAATCGACGATTTGGCCAATCCAACTCTAGAAGCTCCACCGCCGAACCATTCAACGGTATACCACCCACGCTTGCCAGCTAGAAGGAGCAGAATCACCAGCCCCCACCATTCGAATCTTCCCCGGTAGACTATCGCTGGAGCCCATGCGTATATCAGGGCGTTGGACAAGTGTCTAAGCAGTGCTGCCGTACGCCACATGATTGGAAGGTAGGGTGGTAGACTGTTTATGCTGACACCATATACCTTCCTTGTAGAGCGGCGAGAGGGAAAGTGGTGGGCTTCCGGATTAGTGGGCCTCCGGCGAGAAGGGCTGGGGCGGTGGGGGCGAGTTATTGTTGCAGTAGAAGAGGAGGGACCAGCTAGGTATGGGGGGTGGAAACCGAACAGGCCTTCGTGGTCCGAGGATTGGTGGTGGGGAGGGGACGGTGGTAGGTGTGGCATTGTGTTGTAGGATACCGGGATTTGCGAGGATTGGAGTAATGCTTGGGATTCGTGATGGGGGTGTTGCTGATTTGGATCATAGGGGAGCGAGGAACTAAGCAGTGGGGTTTGTGCTCGAAATGTGGTGCTATCCATGGAGGATCTGTTCGAGCTGAAGGCGGAATCGGATTCCTCATCATCGCCGTAGCCGTCTCCACTATCCGCCTCATTTCTTCCAGCCCTCACCCTTCCTTCTTCCTCATCGCCAGCATCACCCCTTCGAACCTCTTCCAACCTTGGAATCAATTCCTCAACATTCGCTTGCTTCCCGCCCGAAATACCAAGAATCGGCTCGTCGTATGCTGTTCGTGAGCTTCCACTTTCCGCCCCAGTTGTTGCGGCCGGGTCGGCAAATTGCGCTGCTCCTTCTTCACCGTCATGATGATAATCTCGGTGGGTTGGCTGAATACCGCGTCTTTTGCGGTAGAAGGTGCCGAAAAGGCCACGGTTTTCCGAAGAATCTTCACTGGGACCCAAGGTTGAGTCGGATCTTATGCGTTTCCCGAGCAAAGGTCGACCAACAGTACGGGAGAATAGGAAACGCTTTGGGGTGGGTGATGCAGTTGTGCTCGAGCATGAGGTTGAGCTATGGTGTAGGGGGCGGAGAGTCCGCCAGGAGAACTATTAAGCATCAGCATTAGCTATATGTAGAGCCAGAGTTAGTAGCGGTTGGGATAGGAGTAATTCGGCAGCCAGGTTGTTCGAGAAGAATCCATCGGACGAACAAGAGTGCACCTACCATGCATTCCACAAAGCTCCATATCCACCCCATAAAGTACACCCCTTCCCAAATCGACGGACACGTCCTCCCACCACCCCCAGTGTTTGCACCAGCAATCCAGTCTGACAGAGAGCAGACAGCCTGCCCTCTATAGCCTCCCGCACCGCCTTCCAGCCCCACCAAAACCCTTACCAAGCCCCACCTCAGGACCTCTTCCACAACCCCCATGCTGAACAGCACTCCCAACTCAATTCCCTGTGCAAGCTTCTTCCTCCGTGGATCCTTCGGCAACGGCACCTTCCCCGCAAACTGCTTCAATGCATACACCACTACAAACCCGATAATCCCCAGCGGTGTTGCGTACTGTGGGAATAGCCCACCGGTATAGCTCTCACATCTAGGTTTCTCTGGAGGGAGGGGTGGGCCATGCTCGTGTCCATGGCCGAGTGGGGGCCGCAGGACTTTCGGGGCGAAGATGAGGGGCAGCAGGAGTAGGAGGTGGATGCTGAGAAGGACCGGGGGGAGGAGGTAGCGGTGCTCGGAGACCTTCATCCGTCGGTGTTCTTCGAGCTTTCCACTCGGGGTGGCGAAGATGGCTCCCTTGGGATTATTGACCCAACTTTCTCAAAATTTGGCTCCTACGAGGTATGGATTTTCTGTATCTGCCTTCCGTCCTCAGGGGGAGGGGAAGGATGAAGAGAAGGGAAGAGAGGGGTATCAATCGATTAATAAACCGTTGTCAGTCGTTTCTTGTTCCAACCAGATGTAACGGTGGTCTCGAGTCAATCGAGATGCTTCTTTTTTTTCGTTTTCCAATGTTAGAGGCCTGGTATCATATCCTTCCACTGGTCTCTTCCTGCCCTTTCCTTCGCTCTCCTCTCCTTCCTTTTTTTTTTCACCGAAAACCGTTGAAGCGAGCGACGTCCCTACTCGACACAAAACAAATAAACCGCAAGGCAGAGGAAGTGTGCAAGCGAATATCAGAGGAGAGATCAGAAATAATAAAAAAAGGTGTGAATGAAAGTGTTTAGGTGAAGGTGAGTGAGTGAGTTAGTCGCCGTGGAAGAAAAAAAAAAAAAAAAAAAGTTCAAAGCCAGACCGGCTTGATTGTTTGGATGTGCCAGTCCGTGAGTTATGATTGATCAGCGGGCAAAGGATAGGATTGACTCGAAGGAAGGGAGGGTCGTTCAAGGGAAGGGAAGGCAAGGTTGACTGGACAAGTTTGCAGCGAAATGTGTTTCGAGAGGGGGGAAAGGAGCTAGAGGGTTAGTTAACTGCGGGAAAGTGGGAAAAGGGTTGGAATAGGGTAGAATTGAAGAAAAAGAAGAAAAAGAAAAATATAATAGAGGGAGCGAATCAAAGAGAGAAGAGGAAAAAAAGAAAAAGAAAGAAAAAAAAGGATCCTCGGTTTGACAGATGCTGGATGCTCAAAACTGCCTGTACGGTATAAGGGGAAGAGAAAAAGAAAATGGTGCACAGGTGGTGAAAAGCTCTCTCCAAGAGCGGCACCCCACAAATCAAGGGTACCGGTAAGCGAAGCATGGATCATACCATCATTACCCGGCCTCGAATATCATGCCGTTTGGCCTTTTGCAAATAGTCTAACCAACCCTCTCCCCACCAAGGTTGCGGAAACGTATTGGGCAGAACTGGGAATAGTTTCCACTTTTTACCGGAGTCCCTTGAGGGATTCGCTCCGAATAGGCCACCCAGGTTCTTCCTCAATCGCAGTAAGTTAGTAACAGCAACGACCCATCTTGGAAACCGGACTACCAAAAAACTACCCCAAAATCTGAGACCTATTTATCCTTGTCTCGCCGACCCGGCTTCAACAAGCCGAGTACTAGTACTGTAAAACAGAAAGTTTTCCCAAACTCTAGTGAGAATGAGGCGAAAGTGGCTGCGGCCGTGTTGCAGTATATAATACTCGAGTTCTATTGCTTCTCCAAGACACAGTATTCGTACCTGTAAAAGCAGGGCAAACATTCACTTCCTATGGGCACAACCCGATCCGATCACTCGGGGACAGTTCACTTGCACGCAGAGAGATAAGGCAATTATCCTACAGTACTCGTACATTGGTACAATCGGGCCGAAGGTGTCCTCGATGTCATCAGCTTGCATCAGCCGAGCGATTTCCAAAGCGACTGGAATGTGAGTTACCGGTGGCCGACTAAAGTTCAATCAAACATAATTACCCCTTGTTCGCCGACCCGGCTTCAACTGAAGGGAATTGGTAAAAAAGGATCGGATTTTACTGTATGTTGGTATCTTCTAGAAAGTAGTAGGATCGGGCCAAGTGCAGCCAAGCCAAGACCCCCGAATCGCCACACTTTAAGCAAACATTCGGCAATTAGGCAGACCCACTGAGGCGAATCCGGGTTTTACGAGAGATAGGGTAGGAGCTTTGTATGTCCACTCGATTTGGTTCTGCTAGGTCGGGGTTCGATGTGCACCTGAAGCATAAACAAACATCCGTGATCCAAGCACTGCTGTGGGGTAACAACCGTACCATGCAATAGCAATAGAGGAGATACGAATCAGCCCCGATGGGACATCCATATGGTGAGTGAGTATGATACAGTAGCACGGCCACCATACTTGCCATGCATTATCCACCACTCTCGTAGGTTGTGGGAGGTCCAAGGGTCGCAAAACCGGTTTGTGGTATGATAAAGTGTCCACGAACAAGCTATTAAATCTACTCGTACTGTGCAAGCACGGTAGTATTGTTCACAAGGCCCCTCTACTCATCATCAGTTCGTCTACCATAGTTACAGTACCTTGGAATAGAGTGGGCGTTATTCTAATGGTGGGGGGCAGAACTCCACAATGTGGCCAAGAAGTGTGCAACTCTGCCCAAGAAGTGCAAAGTGAACCCATAATTAAAAAGAAAAGAGGAGAAGCGAAAAGAAAAGAAAAAACTCAAAATCCACTACTTTCTTTCCTTTTTCTTCCTTTTATTGGAATTTTTTTTCACAGAAAGAGAAGGAAGGAATACCGGTATCTGCTCTCTTGGACGGACGGGCACCACTGTTACCGTAGCACATTCGTTTCCGCCCACACACCCATAATCAATTACAACCTCATTCAGCACACACAGCTCACATCCAGACATTCCAATCTCACCTTTTTTTACCCTTTTACCCATTTATTTTGACCTGTTTTGCTCACGGTATTTCCTGTTTTATGTCATACTGTAATCCAACTACGGTAACCACCCTCCTCACAAGCCAGCCACACGCCAGGCCGCACAAAGCCCATGGGGCCCTCCAAGAGAATGGGAAAGAAGAAGCTCTTTCGTCCATCCTTCCGCCTCGTGGGCCGCGCTACGTTGGCTTGGGCTTGGTTGGGTGGGGAACGGGCGTGCTGCTTGATTGGTGAACAGTCTCGCTGCAGGGGGAAACGAGCCAACTTCAAGAAAGAGGGTCGATTGCAGCCCAGGCTCAATGGAGCTGGGATACCGGCGCGCTGATGGACAAAACGTCGGTACTTTTAGTCCACATAATATGTACTGTACTGTACTCGTACCGTACATACATATATTGGCATGCAAATGCAAGATAGATATAAAGTTGGATGAATACTCGAGCGTAGTGCTAGTACTTGTATAGTATCATACCATGCCCGAGTACTCGAGTACCTGCACATGCTGCGATGTGGGAACCGTGAGATGCAATAATTGTTATCCTCCTCACTTTCCCGCCTTAGGTTCGCAGGGTGGGGGAATTGGCACAGTGGGTAGGGGGGCTTGCACCCGGCAAGCTGTGTGCTGCGATCGAGTATGATAATGGAATGTTTTGTTATCTGCATGGCCAACCGATAGTGGTAATGGCGTACTCGAGCACGGTGATAGAGCACCATATTTCGTGTAGGAATTTCCTCTTCTCCCGTATTCTGTACTGTATGCGTAATTGCTTTTGATCGGAGGTTTGTAGTATTCCAGGGAGCGTTGCTTTAGCCCGGAGATCAGCTGTCTGTGCTGTGCGCTGGGTGATTACTCAACTGGAGCGTGCAATCAAATTTCCGCTGAGGTGAATTCTCGATTCTTCACCGTGATAGATTCCTCATTTATTCTTCTTTTCCCTCTTCTCATTCTCCCCCTTTTTGCCTTCCCTCCTTCTGCTCGAGTACCAGTGCCGCATTGTACTGTACTCGCACAAGTACCGTTATCACTCTGCAAACTTCCCACAAATACGCTACAGCGAGACAAAAAAGACTTCCGCCACAAAACGGCCCCCCACTCGAAAAAAAATGGGGAAAAATAAAAAAAATAACCAATACGGTACTGTACGAGTACAAGGAAGTTACAACCCCCTGCAAATGTCTCACCGAGTCAATCTTGCAGGAATAAATTACCGTAACAATGTGGGGAAATCTTGACGCAACGCAGGCTTCTGCCTCTTCTGCTTCGTCTTCCTTCTTCTTCCCCTCCGCCCGCCCACGAGGGCGAATGGTCTCCGGTCTGTGGTGTGCCTGTGGGTGGGTGGGCGGTCTTGGCCAGAAAAAGAGTGAAAAGTGGAGAGTGAAAAAGTGAAAAAATAATAATTTGAAAACGGAAGAACCCACATCCCCTTCCTCCTCCCCACTTTGATTGGACCTTTTCATAAGCTTGTTGGATGGAGGAATTATCTTGGTCGTCGATTGTGAAGGAGAATCAACCGTTTTTTTCTTCCCCTTTTTCTTTTTTTTCCCTTTCTCATTCGTTAACTCATTCAGGTACGGTCCATCGAGGCTTGCACTGCTCTATTATGATACCTCTATGATTATGGCAGGGTATTGCACATTGTTGGACTTATTTATTCAGGGTACGATTTCGAATACGCGTGGATAAGTTAGAAAGAGAGGGAAGAAGGGAAGAAGGAAGGGTCTGGTGGAAATTCAATGCCGCAAACGCCATCCCGACCGTCCAAGTCTTACTCACTTACTCGAGCCATGACATGAAAAACTGCCAAGTTTTCGTGCTCGCACGGAAATCATGGCATCCGGGTTCACCTCAGCTCCGACTTGCTGTACTGTACTCGGGTAAGGAGGGAAAATCGGGGGAGGATTTTTTTTCTCCGAACCTACGGGTTAAAAATCCAGCCTCGGTAAAAAAAATTTGTCTTCCAATATATTACTTGAACCTCGAAGAAGATTTCAGAATCCCCGATTCGTGATGTTGGAGTAGAGTGGTCGCCAATGCAGTTGGTCTGGGTTTCAAACTTTCCCTCCAACCTACTTGTATCCCACGGCATAGCGAGCACCCGTGATACGAGCAGAGAGCCATATGCAGGTTTAAGCAATAAAATTGGTTGAACTTCAGTCAAAATTGTAATAGCGGCTAGTACTTGTATTTGGCTGGATGACTCGCTATGATGGAGGCTCGCTATGCCGTGAAATGCGTTACTCGCACCTAGGCAGGCATTTACTCGAGTGCTTCCTCCCATAGCGACAGATGAGATACTTGAGGACCAAAACTAAGCTATCTTTTTCATCGCCACGACCCTTGGGAATCGACAGCACCCTTCTGTACTAGGCTCCCACAACCACTACACGGGAATTAGGCTAGCAGTACGAGTACTCGAGTATAAGCAGATTCAATCTGACCTAGCTCCGACATCCAAACATTGGCAGGAGCCGAAATGCCATACAGGTGGCAAGTCCACAATACTCGTACAAGCACACTATCGGTACCCCTCTGGCAAGAGAATACCTCCGTATGATACCAACTCGTTCGCCCCCAATCCTCATCCAGAACCCCTAATCCCCTTCGACAAACACCCACGGTAGTGGCTCTGCCTTCTCTTGTATTCGACTAGGACTAACCGCACATAGCACAAGTCCGAAGCGAGCTCGGACACAAGGGGTAAGTGGGGAGCGGTGGTACAAGTACGAATGCCCGATTGCGTGCTATGATAGCTGCTGAGCGCAATTCAACTCCTTACTAGTTGGACATTTCTTGCTTTCAA